AATCATAATAGTGGCATTTACTTTTATGAATCATTCCTGTTCAGCTTTAAGTGTAGATAAGAACCTTAGTGCATTGTTTTTAATTTCAAGGATTTTCAAGACAATTTCAAAGAGATATAAATTTTAGTCATCATTTGCCAGACTACTGTGTACTGTATGTATTGTAAAAAAATTCAGTTTGTTTTTAAATCTTTTTCAGGACACACTATTGTGGAGGAAGTTTAAATTAACTGTTGTGGAATTTCATGATGAAAATCAACGAACCTAGTGACTAGTGCTTTCACATTTAACAGCGACAGTGCTTTATATTTTCACAGTTTCTCATAGACAGTGTGATTAGTTCAGATTCACTTGATGATTTGGAGTTAATCAAGGGAGACAATTTTAACGTGGCAGATGAAGAGTTGTCTTCCTTAGATAATAGACTTAGCAGGGCATTGACTTACGGCAGTTTTCCAGATTGGTGTCATTGCTTGGATCAGATTCTGAAAACGGTAAGGGGATGAAATTGCGATATATTGAATTTGCAATGTATTGTAATACTGATACATTGAAACTGTAATGTAGTATAGCTGTAGTAAAAACTTCATTGTATAGATAATTTTAAACTGCTATGAAGTAAGTTTTACTAGAATGTTTAAAAGTTTTATTTAAGTGAAATTGTAACATAGCAAGTTGTGTTTCAGTGAAGCTGTACTGTTTTGTAGCATTTTGTATTATATTACAGTGCAATACAGCATCCTACAATACAGCATTATTGTATAACTGCTTCCTACATTACATTGCATTGCAATACAGCATCCTTCAATACAGCATTATTGTAAAACTGCTTTCTATAATACCGCATTATTTTTTAACTGCTTCCTACATTACATTGCATTGCAAAACAGCATCCTTCAATATAGCATTAATGTAAAACTGATTCCTACATAACATTGCCTTGCAATACAGCATCCTACAATACAGTATTATTGTAAAACTGTTTCCTTCATTACATTGCATTGCAATACAGAATCCTTTAATACAGCATCATTGTATAACTGCTTCCTACATTACATTGCATTGCAATACAGCATCCTTCAATATAGAATTATTGTAAAACTGCTTCCTAGATTACATTGCCTTGCAATACAGCATCCTACAATACAGTATTATTGTATAACTGCTTCCTTCATTACATTGCATTGCAATGCAGCATCCTTCTATACAGCATCATTGTATAACTGCTTCCTACATTACAGTACATTGCAATACAGAATCCTTTAATACAGCATCATTGTATAACTGCTTCCTACATTACATTGCATTGCAATACAGCATCCTACAATACAGCATTATTGTAAAACTGCTTCCTAGATTACATTGCATTGCAATATAGCATCCTACAATACAGCATTATTGTAAAACTGCTTCCTACATTACAGTACATTGCAATACAGCATCCAATAAAACAGCATTAAATTTTGCTACAGTTTAAATAAAGATAAACAGTAGTAAACAGAAAATGATTTTCTGTTTGAAATGAGGTTTTATTTCATACATACAAAATGTTAAGTAAAAACATTATGCATCTAATTTCTCATGAGCTATTTATAACTGTTTACCTGGATAAGTGTCATAGATATTTATATAGAAATTATGTCATATTAATTGTATCATGTGACTGGTTTAATATAAGTAGGTGTACTGAGTCATTTTCATCTCTAACTTGTCCCCATGAAAAAAGCAACAACAACAAAAACAAAGAAAATAAAGGAGCAAAAAGCATCTTATATCTAACAGAACCCTTCATTGATCATGAATTATGAGGGGAAAATTATTTTTATTGAATTATAAGACATTATGATAATTTTTTTTATAAAAACCTCATATTTATATAATTATGTAAACTGTGATATATTGTAGAAAGCTAGAGATGGCAGTGGCAGCCTAATTAATGCAACCTGTGCTGTACCTGCCCTCACTTTTTTTTGTCCCGCAGTAAATGGGTATAGCTTTTTGGAAAATTAGTTACTGACAAGAATCTTGGCAAGGGGCATTTGTGTATACCAAAAATATGATTTTGAACTTTTGTTAATCAACAATGGACATTGACAGGACATGTAATAATTGAGTCTGTCTTAATTTTATCATCAAACCTCACCTTAAACATCACATTTAGACTTTAATTAAACATGAGTAATGTGACATATTAAGATAATATCCCTGAAAACCTTCTCTTAGTTTCAGTTTTAAATCATATGATTGTTTTTTCATACTAGGTGAATTAATTCAATTCAAGTTAAACTTATTAAATTATTTGAAAAATGTAAAAATAGGTAATTTGGAAATGATATAGTGAAAAAAGTAGCAAAAGGTATGCTACGCTTGATATAGGTGTGTAGTATGTTGTTGTAAATACATGATACATGTAACCTTATAGCACAAGGCTTGGTTAAGTTAGAGATTTGTGTTATTTTTGTTCTTGTTTTTTCCCTTTAAGTAGAAAAGTATGTATTAAAAGAGTGATTTTGTTTTTACCTAGGCTACAGTTGTTTATAGAACTCAAATCTTTTTATTATATGTGTGAACGTTTGCATACACTGTAGTTAAGATAAAGGAAAAAAAGGAATAAGTTTTTTTTATTCTTAATAAATCTTTGTTCAGTTTGTTTTATTTAACATTTACCATGCTAATTATCTTAAACAGACTTTTCCATTTTACAATTTGGACAAAACCATTTTCATGTATTATTTTTTGGGAAAATAAAGAAAAATGTATAAACTGAAAAGCGAGCAGTGCAGACCATGATCAGACTGCAAGGATTTGCCAGCTGATCTTGGTCTCTACTGGTTGCATGGGTAGATTTATGAATATCTTATTCTTACTTGAATTTTGCAGATTTATTTTAAAATGAATTATAGTTATGGGAACTTAAAACAATTGGTTAATATTTTGATATCAAGAGTCGTCAACAAGTATTACAGTGGAAGTAAGATTTCAACACAATACAGTTTGTAAGAAATCAAAGATGAATGAAATAAAAGTTGAAAAACATATTCATAATCAAATATTGATTATAGCTTATTTCTCAAAAGTGATTTATTGGAAATATATTGTAATTCCTATATGTGAAATATGATCTGTATTAATATACAATTGACATAATATCTTCTATTCAATCATTCATATTCTGTATTTAATCAGTCATATAGTTGTATGTTACTGTGAATATTCATATATTTGCACTATCTTATCTTGTCACAGATACTCCACCACCCAGAGAATCTCTTCTGCATTTTACTGCCAGACTGGGTCTTGCCAAAGTAGCAACATTTCTTCTCCGTAAACCGGGCAGCAAGCAGTGTCTCAAGTTACACAATAAGAACGGACAGTTACCAAAAGATGTTGCCATAGAGAATGGATTTGATGGTCTAGCAGAATTACTTTCTGAGTATGTTTTTCTTTATTTTCTAGGCATAATTTAAGTATACTTAAAAAAAACTTTCTGCTAATCTTGAATCAGAGTGCTTTACCTGTTTTTTTTAGCTCGCACTGGCAAACACAGTGCTCAGATTTAAACAGGGTTAGTAGTTTGTTGCTTATTGTTTTTCACAGTTCTTGTAATCAACATCTTCTCCTTAACCACTTGGTAGATTTTTACCAAACTTTACACTGTAGGTTTAAACCCCATCAAGGACTTTGGATTCTTTCATGTTAGGAAGCTATCCAGCTTGCTTACAGAACGTCTTTGGTTCAACTCACGTGCCCTCTCATGCCTGAAATAGTGCAGGTTTTCTTCCACCAGTAAAGCTGGAAGGTTGTCATAAGACCTCTGCTGTGTTGGTTTGATGTAAAACCCAACAAACAATCAATAAAGTACAAACCCTTGGTAGCCTCCAACAAACAAATGATACAAATAGTCCAAGTCTTATACACAAGTAGGTCACAAGAGCTTGAAATAGTGTTGGTTTAAACATATTTATTCAAGTTCAATTGCGAAACAAGTTCTTGCAACTTATACTAATCTGTTTAGAGTACGCTTCCTGGAACCAACCAGTACTGGTGTCATACGAAGAAACATGGTAGTGACCCCAAAAGGGCTTGAACCCATGATCCCTGGGAAGAGAGGCAGACAGCTTAACCACTAGGCCACGGCTCCCCTTAAAATAGTCTTAAAAAGATGAAATTTTAAATGGAGTTCCTTACACTAGATCTGTTGGTATACAAATTACAGTTATGTTGGTATGATTGAGAATCATGTAGCATGCTGTCCTACTGACAGCTCTTGTTTACAGATGTCTGCATTTTCTATTTGAAAGAATTTCTGAGACATATTTGCGTTTACTTTAATTATTTCAAAAAGGGGTTTGGTCTTCCTCCACAAGGAAAGTTGAAAAGTGGCTGTGTCTTGCTGTGACATAAAAAACACAATAAAAAATAAAATCAATAAAAAATAATAATGATATCATGCTTTCAGTTGACCATTGCTATTTCTATTTTTAGATACAATATACACAGTTTAATGCCAGTAGGACGTTGGTTGGTAACAGATGAAGGTGTTATACAGACACAAGATACCGGTGATGTGACCTTGACCTCAAATATTGATACTCATAAAAGAACTATTGGTAATTATCATGCTCTTGATCATTTTTCTTCAGAGAGTGCTGGTTTCCATGGCTGATTAGTTATTTCACGGCGTCTCAACGCCGTGATATTGTGATGGGTAGTTTTCGGTAGCATGGGCAAAAGTCACGTGACAAAATGCCTTTCGATTTCTACAGCCGACATTTTATTGTTTTTACGCAATCATTGTGCAGCCCATTTCTGTGAAAAGTTACATAGCAACAGTTTTTTTTTCAAAACCATATAGAATCTTAACAGTATTTGTATCAACACACGAAATATCAGCGTTTTATATTAACACATTTCCGGACATCCTTTCGACATGCTTGAGAAATTCGCCTTGAATGGATTATGTATGGTGGCTGATTTACGCCATCCGTATATATTCGCGTATTCGCCTCAAAATGCGAACACACGAAGGGACGACATATTTTGACTAATGTGTTTTCATGTCGGATCTATGTCTCTCTCAGAGTGAATCTTTTCACGTGTAAAATGTCTTTGAACATTACATTCCTAAGTTTCTATATTTGCAATTAAGAACTTAAATTGTCTTCTTTTTTTTTTTAATAATTTCATTTTTTTTTGCGCAATTCTCTAAAATGAGATTTGGTTTTTCTATATGCGTTTCACAATAAACATTCACCATACCAGGTTGTAAAATAACTTAATTTGGTCCTTAACCCTTTCCCCCCATGAGCATATTGTGAAAAATGGCCGTTTTCACTGAAAAGCCTCCTGTTACAAGTTCAAACTGCTATGAAACTATGAAAAATGCTTCAATACTAATCAAACTTGGCACAAATGTTGACTGGACTATTGCCTTTGTAACGACATGCTCAGTTTTAAATTTCCCATTACCATGGCAACGAGGGGACATCTCAAAATTGCCAAAAATCACTATTTTGCCTCGATTTTTTCCATCAAAATTTATTTCAAAGTGCTGCAACTTCTCAAGGGATTGAGATAGAGTTAAAGGCTTTTCAGCGTTGGTTACACGTTACCTTATGATCGACCCGGGGTCATTTTTAGCCTCTGACAAATCCAAAATTTTCTTGGCGATGAGGGGGACTCCGCGTTGTTTCGCGTATACATGAGGTAAAGGGTTAAATCAGTTTTTACCACAACATCAAACTTCATTCAGAATTCATGTCTCGTTATTGTGAGCAAAATTCTGAGTTTCCTTTAGATATGAGCAAGAAAATGTTTTATTATCCTCCGCCGAAAAGACGGTGGGGGATATAGAATTAGTCTCCATCCGTCCGTCTGTCCTTCCGTCCGCTCCTCTACATTTTTGTCCGGAGCATGTCTCAAAAAGTATCAATTTGAAACTTCATAGGTGGAGGTATCAACTTGAAACTTCATTGGTGGATAAATCATATTTAGGAAAAGTGCACTGCACAAGAATAATAACTCTACGCTGCATATTTTTTTCATTATTGCCCTTTGTTATTCTTCAAACTCAATCTTTGTCCACAGCATAACTCGAAAAGCCTTTGAGATATCAACATGAAACTTCATAGTTGGATAGATCTCACTCAGGAGGTGTGCAATGTGATAACTCTAACATTCCTAAATTTTGAGTTATTGCCCTTTGTTAATTTTCATGCTTAATTTTTCACCTGGGTGGAGCATTAATTAACTGAAAAAACAAACTTTAAGATGTCAATGTAATCTTCATAGGTAGATAGATCTTTTTGAGGATGAATGTTGTGCGAAAGAATGATAACTCTACCCTTTATAATTTTTGAGTTATTGTCATTTGTTATTTTTATACTTTTTGTGCGGAGAATATCTAAAAAAGTGTTAGAGGTAACAACTTGAAACTTCATAGGTTGATAGCTCTTTTTGATGAGAAGTGCAGCACACTAGAATGATAACTAACCGCGCATTATTTTTCAGTTATTGCCCTTTGTTATTTTTTATACTTAATTTTGTCCAGGGTGTAACTACAAAAGCCTTTGAGATATGTACATGAACCTTCAAAGGTGGATAGATCTCACTCAGGAGGTATGCAGTGCAAAAGAGTGATAACTCTATCCTTCATAATTTTTAGTTATTGCCCGTTGTTATTTTTCATACTAAGTTTTTCACCTGAGTGGAGCATATCTCTGAAAAAGTCTTTGAAATGTCAACATGAAACTTCATACGTGGATAGATCTTTTTGAGGAGGAACGTTTATGCGCAAGAATGATAACTCTATCTTTTATAATGTTTGAGTTATCGCCATTTGTTATTTTTCAAACTTTTGACATCTTGAAACTTCATAGGTGGATAGATCTTATTGGGGAGCATTGCAGCACACTAGAATGATAACCTACCGTGCATTGTTTTTTCAGTTATTGCACTTTGTTATTTTCATACTTTATTTTTGTCCAGGGTATAACTACAAAAGCATTTGAGAGCATATCATTCTCTGAAAAAGTCTTTGAAATGTCAACATGAAACTTTATAGGTGGATAGATCTTATTGGGGAGGAGTGTTTTGCGCAAGAATGATACCCTTTATATTTTGTTAGTTATTGCCATTTGTTATTTTTCATACTTTTTGTCCGCAGCTTATCTCAAAAAGGTGTTAGAGGTATCAATTTGAAACTTATTAGGTGGATAGATCTCATTGAGATTCAGGCAATTCAACACAATGCTATTTGAAGATACCTTATCAATATATTTAACTGTTTTTGTTGTTGTTTTTTTGTGTTGGGGTTGGTTTTTTTTTTGTTTTTCGCCGTGACAATCATATTGCTGCATTTCCCAGCAATTTTTTACTTGTCTTAATTGATTCAAATCACTTGCCTAAAATCACTGCTGGTCCAGATCCTTCCAGTGACTTTTGATTCTTTCAATTGTGGAAGTTTGATTAAGGAAGGTTGGTGGTACTACTTAGGTGCCCACTTATGCTGAAACCTGATATTTTCCTGCGTCAGTGAAATTTTGACATTGTCTCTCAACCGAGAGCTTTTATAAGTTGATTTCTAATCTTCGTTCAAATTCCACCAAACTCTTTGCTATAGATGTATGGGTTGTTTCATATTATTCTAGTTGGTTTGACAACAATATTTATGTTGATAAAAAAGATAGTTTGCTGGTTATCATTATTATGTTCTTTACAATTCACTCAACATGATAAGAAACAATGTCTTTTAACTTAAATTAACAGGTAGTAAATAAAATAAATTTAACAGATTAACAAGTATGGGCATGTGGTCTAATGAAACCAATGGTTTACTAGAAATGTATTTGTTGCGGTTCAATACCAAGTCTCTCCAACTAAATTTACTATACAAGTTGATCGACTTGAGGATATTTTTAGAGAACTTGTAACTTTAAGAACAGAAACTGATTGTTTCTGTTAAGCATACTCTTATAACATAAAAGGATCAATAGGTTTTAAGAAGACATTCTGGAGCATGTCAAGGGCTAAACCTAAGATACATATAAAGTGTGCCACAAGAAAAATACTTAGAAATAGTTAATAGATTATTTTTTATTCATTTATTAAAAAGTTCAAACTACATGTAGTTATCCACTTTTCTTAATTTTGCCAAAGACTTATATGAAGAAAAAAAAACCTGTTGTTTTTTTTCCCAAAAGTCTTTTACATAAAATCACATGTTATTAAGTTATGAAATAGTAAAAACTTCCTGTTAGTGTAAATAGGTACTTTATGATAATATTTGTTTAAAAAAAACATCCCTTTAAATGAGTAGATCTATTAAATTGGTGGCATGCTGTTTTTTGTCAAGTTCTATTACATCTGAAATTAGAATGTAAGATTTTGTGATAATGTAATTTAATTCTCATTTTCATTTATCTTGGTAATTTAAAATTCACAAATTTATGTCTTCTTAAAACAGCTGCTTTGGCAAAGTTTGTTTTCATACAAAGTAGTATAGTAATGAAGTACTAAGTACAATTTTTGTGTCGCCTCTATGGAGTAGTGGCGACATATAGGGATCACTTCTCCGTCGTCTGTGTGTCTGTCCGTCCGTCTGTCTGTCTGTCCGTCACAAAACTTGTCCGGACTACTCCTCATAAACTACTGGTGCAATTTCATCCAAACTTTACAGGAATGATCAGTACCAAGTCTAGTTGTACATATTGTCAGCATTTTCCGGTTTAATGATTTTTATCAGAGTTATGGCCCTTTAATAATTTTTATTTTTAAAGTTTGTCCGGACTACTTCTCTTATACCACTAATGCAATTTCAATGAAACTTTACAGGATTGATCTGTAGCTCAAGTCCTTGCACATATTGCAGGGGTTTTCCGGTTGAATGAGTTTTGGCCGAGTTATGGCCCTTTGATAAAAAGGTGTTTTTTTCTGTGTGTTGCCAGATACACAAAAGCTTGTCCGGACTACTCCTCATAAACTACTGGTGCAATTTCATCCAAACTTTACAGGAATGATCAGTACCAAGTCTAGTTGTGCATATTGTCAGCATTTTCCGGTTCAATGATTTTTGTCAGAGCTATGGCCCTTTAGTAATTTTTATTTTTAAAGTTTGTCCGGACTACTTCTCTTATACCACTAATGCAATTTCAATGAAACTTTACAGGATTGATCTGTAGCTCAAGTCCTTGAGCATATTGCGTGGGTTTCTGGTTGAATGATTTTTGGCCGAGTTATGGCCCTTTGATAAAAAGGTGTTTTTTTCTGTGTGTTGCCAGATACACAAAAGCTTGTCCGGACTACTCCTCATAAACTACTGGTGCAATTTTGTCCAATCTTTACAGGAATGATCAGCACCAAGTCTAGTTGTGCACTGTCCGTCTGTCACAAAACTTGTCCCAACATGAAATTGGCCATCATGAGGCGACACATGTGATCACTGATCGCTCTTGTATTTATAAAACTAAAACTGAAAACTATTTGTTTGTTGTTACAGAGGAAGACATTATAGTGTTACAAGGTGTACAGAAACAACTAGAGAACGAAGATCATAGTATATCTAGACAGTGGCAAACTGACTGGCCAGCTGACCATTATAATTCTGGTAACATACCTGCTTGATTGTTTATTTGTTATCCCCCGCGGATGGAATCGGGAGGGGGATATAGTTTTGGCGTTGTCCATCCGTCCTTCCGTCCTTCCGTCCGTCCGTCCATCCGTCCGTCCGAATTTCGTTTCCGGAGTAGTTCTCTGCAACTAATGGCTGGAATTCAACGAAACTTTATGGGAATGTTGATCAGCATGTGAAGTTGTGCACCTAGGTATTTTCGTCTGGATATTTTTAGTATTTTTAGAGTTATTGCCCTTGACTTAATAAACGTCCGAATTTCGTTTCCGAGTAGTTCTCTGCAACTAATGGCTGGAATTCAACGAAACTTTATGGAATGTTGATCAGCATGTGAAGTTGTGCACCTAGGTATTTTGTCTGGATATTTTTAGTAATTTTTTAGAGTTATTGCCCTTGACTTAGTAAAACATCCGAAATTCGTTTCCGAAGTAGTTCTCTGCAACTAATGGCTGGAATTCAACGAAACTTTATGGGAATGTTGATCAGCATGTGAAGTTGTGCACCTGGGTATTTTCGTCTCTGGATATTTTAGTATTTTTAGAGTTATTGCCCTTGACCTTAGTAAAATTTTGTAATTTTCAACTTGTGTCGCATGTAATTCCCAAAAAGTTTTTGACCTAGAGTCATGAAACTTTACAGGAATGTTGATCAGTATGTGTAGTTGTGCACCTGGGTATTTTCGTCTGGATATTTTTACTATTTTTAGAGTTATTGCCCTTGACTTAGTAAAATTTTGTAATTTTCAACTTGTGTCGCATGTAATTCAAAAAGTATTTGACCTAGAGTCATGAAACTTTACAGGAATGTTGATCAGTATGTGTAGTTGTGCACCTGGGTATTTTCGTCTGGATATTTTTACTATTTTTAGAGTTATTGCCCTTGACTTAGTTTAAAATTTTGCAATTTTTCAACTTGTGTCGCATGTAACTCAAAAAAGTATTCGACCTTAAGTCATGATACTTTACAGGAATGTTGATCAGCATGTGTAGTTGTGCACCTGGGTATTTTCGTCTGGATTTATTTAGTATTTTTAGAGTTATTGCCCTTGACTTAGAAAATGTTTTGCAATTTTCAACATGTGTTTGCATGTAACTCAAAAAGGATTTGACATAGAGTCATTAAACATAATTGGAAAGTTGCCCTCAGCATATTTAGTTTGTTCTTAGGGTTTCGCTTGTGGATTTACCCCAGTATTTGTAAAGTTATTTCCTTGACTTAGTTAAAACTGTTTCGTTATGTTGTTATTTGATCCTTGAGTGCTTGAGTTAAAAATCGACCAACTTTACAGGAAAAATGATCAACATCACTAAATTTACAGGAATAATGATTCACCTCACTGTGCAGCTATGAACCTGGGACTTTGCATGTGGATTTTTTTCAGTTTGTTAGAGTTATTGCCCTTGAATTACAGTAGTTTAAATTTGCAATTTTCAACTTGGGGTTTGCTTGGGATATATTCAGTATTTGTAAAGTTCTTGCCCTTTACTTAGTAAAAAGATTTTAGTTTTCAAAAAATATTTGACCTAGAGTCATAAGATTGACAGAACAGTTGGCGCGGCGGGGGCACCTGTGTCCTATGGACACATTTCTAGTTTTTATTAAAGAAGAATTAAAATGATTTGTTACAATAACATTTAAAATATTTGAAAATTGTGAGATCCCTTCTTGGATGCTTTGAAAATGGCAATAAAGTCTGGAGATTAAGATGATTTTTTACATCTAGGTGAGCTATTGTGATCCCCCACCGCCCGTCATCGTTGCGTCGTCAGCAATTTCTTTAAAACAAAACATCTCCTCAGAAACAATATGACTGCACAGCAACCAACTTTATAGGAAATGATCCTAGGGTGGTCCCCTGCAAAAGTTGATCAAATGGTTCTGGTCTGTTGCATAAGTAGATCACAGGGCCAGAAAAGGAGTTTCAAAAATGCAAAATTAAAAAATCTTGTCTGAAAGTACAAGGCCTAGAGCTTTGATATTTGGTATATGACATAACCTATAGGTCCTCTACCAAAATTGTTCAAATTTTAGCCCTGGGGTCAAAATTGGCCCCACTCCAGGGGGTCATAGATTTACCTTATATGTATAAAGTGAAAACTTCTTTTTGTTTGAAGGTACAAGGCTTCAAGTTCAAAGAATATTACAGTTTATGCCATGATTAATATATAAATAAAGCCTTATGTCTTCAGTTGTTGTGTTAATAATAACCAGTACTCGGCGGGGGATATAAATTCAACGAATTTGCTTGTTAAAATTTAGAGCTGTATTGACTAATTATATGACTCTCTTTGTAAAATATTGTCTCAAAATAATTTAAATTGCATTTTTGTCTCTAACTAGGCAAAAAAATATTTCTTTTAGATTGGCATAGAATTGCTTCCGGTTGTTTAGTGTTATGGAGTAACATTACTGAAAAGAAAAATTCTACTAAGGGACATAATAAAAAAAGAATGAAATACAAATTCTGACCAAGTTGTTTCCCTTGTGTCCTGTTCATTTATTGAACAAAATGTCATGAATTTTGTTTTTATCCTTCTTAAGATTATCTTAAGTAAGTTATTATTTCTAAATTGAAGGTAATATATGTTACATATTTCTGGAATTATTTAAATGAATGGAAAAAACAACCCTGATTCCAGGAACGATGGTTAGGAAACTACCGCCTATATGACTGAAATACTGTTGGGAAAAGGGGTAAAATGAATCAAACAAACAAACAACCCTGATAATTTATGAAAATTTCAATAAGAATCTGAGAAGAGATAACTATATAGAAATTTTACAACTTTGGTTGACCTTTCAGACACAAAGGTCAATGATGAGGATACAGCAGATCAAAAATTTAAAACAATTTGTGAAAAAGTCCAAGAGCTTCCAAATGTATTAACTCTAGAAACGATCAATGATTACCGAGACTCAAATGACACATATACAGATCCAAATATAGATGATAACCATGGTAACGACAACGTTGATATGAACGAGGATTCTGATGTTGCAATGGAAACAGAAACTTTACCAAAGTTACATGTGTCAGAGGGGGAGGAAGACGATGAGAGGAATTATGGGTAAATTAATTACCTATATTTATTTTTGAAATGTCAAATTGCAGCTTACATGACACAGTCACAGTCAGCTAAACTAATTACTTACACACGCTGACCTCAGTAACTATAAGGTTATATAGGTATATAAGTAAAATCAGCCAAAATGTAACTAAACATACTGAACATACAGACCCTGATGGTGTATAGAAAAACAAAGGCATTTAAATCAAATCTACACATACTTAACTTACTTGATATGATGATATATTCAAAAATGGTTATGATGGTATAAAGAAAAAAAGAAAAACAAAGGCTTTCAAATCAAAACTGGGGCATCTATGGCCAAGTGGGTAAGGTCACTGACTTCATACACCTAACTGCTGTGGGTTTGAATTTCCATCAGGGACTATTGGATTCTTTAATATAAGGAAGCTATCCAGCCAGCTTATGTAACATCTGAGGTTTTGCAGGTTCATGCCTGAAATAATGCATGGAAGAGCACCTGAGGTCTTCCACTAGTATAGCCGGATAGTTTCCATATGACCTACACTGTGTTGGTGCGATGTAAAACTTAAGCAACTATACTGTGTTGGTGTGACATAAAAAAATAAAACTGTCACACACAACTTACTGGTCATGATGGTAAATAGGAATAAAAAGGCATTCAAATCAAACTTACACACACTTACTGGCCATGGGGATATATAAGAAAATGAAAAAGATATTTAGTAAAACCCAAACTTACTAGTCTAAATATTATATAGAACAAAGTCATTTTAAACTTGCATATGTTTTATTTACCAATGATGATTGTATGTGGAAAAACAGTCTGTTTAGTCAAACAAACACATGCACACACTCACTCTTTACCTAACAATCATGCTGTACTTTGAAAGTGACATATGTTTCAAAATAAATGGATGTTTGTATTTTTAAAGATCTCAAAGTAGATTACCTGAAAAGAAAGTATACAAAAAGTGAGTATTCATCCAATTAACCTATTTACATTGCACTTGTGTGAAATCATTCAGAGGAGAGGTAAAATATCTTGGACATCCCTGTTAGAATAAGGCTGATGACTTTAAGCCATAAAAGCTTGCCCAGCAGGCACATCAACGTTGTTTCAACGTTGAATTATGGTCAGATTTCAACGTTGAAATAAGGTTGGATTTATATTTGGATTTGAAAGTTGAAACAACATTGAAGTTTCAATGTCATTTCAACGTTGAAAACCCACGATACTTTAATTTTTGGATATAAAGCAAAGTAACAAAGTTTAACAAAATATCAAGACAATATTAAATACTTCAGATATTTTATTTCAAAAATACAGTTCAAGTGCAGCTTAAATTCACTTTAATAGTTTTAACAATTAAGCTACAATTTGTTCCAATCTTTTCTTCTAGATCTTTCTGGGTATGTCAAGTGTTGGAGTACTTCTTTGGCTGTCTCTTACTGCTTCTGCAAATAAAAATAAGAAGTTTGTAGTTAAAAGTGACTTGGTCAATCTCAAATTATACATATAATTACTCAACTTAGTGATTTGTTTTTATCTTAAAATGCTTTTCTCTAAGATTTACATCATAAAACAGCATAGAAATTGAAACATAGCTAAGTTTGATATTGACAGCAAATACTGTATATAAGACAACAAAATCTTTTTAAAAAGAATCTATTTAAAAGTCTCACCTATGATTGGTAAGAAAAACTGCTCCCCGTCAGTTCCTTGCAGCATATTCCCAAGAAATTAACATTCTAGGCTCTAGCTAAGACCATTTTATGCAGCATCCTGAAATCAACAAACATGTAAATTTTATATTAATAATGTTACAAGAATATTCCGAAAAAAATATATTTTAAGACAAGATAAATATCCAGTAGCCAGGACCAGGATCTAGAATATAAAATAATATATAATAAAATAGAAATAGATTTATTATTCCCCTTAAATTTACGACTATTAAACTTTAAAGTTTAACACTCAAATTTGTTATTTAACTTAATAATAATCATTATAATGTGTTTTTATCAAACTAATTAACACTGTATTATACTATCAATAAAATATAAACATACAGTAGTTATATATATTGACGAATCGTCTTGGGACGTAAAAAATAAGTGGGCCGAACTACTTTATAGGTTTCAATTTTAAAATTGATTAAATTCTAAATAGGATATAGTACAGACAAATAATTAATAATATGAAAAATAAATTAAAGAAAGACAAGATTTGTAAAATCATAAATTGCCAAAGACATCAATAACTTCATGCTTACAAGGCCTATCGAACCCAAATCATTCAATTAGGTCGCAAAAACGTGTCAAATCAACTCAATCATGTGTTTATATCTCTCATTTATTTCATAAAGTAAATTAAAGTAGAATTAAAGGAATAAATAATAATAATTTAGAAAAAAATCAGTAAACTAAAGTAAAACAAAACGGTAATACCTTCGAAATCCAAATAAATTGCCAATCGTGTTGTTTTCAAATTTTCCAAACAGCGCCACCATTTGCACGAATGATAATCATAGGCAAAACAAACAAAATCATTGACCGCAACAATTACTTCCCCTGACCAGCGTTATTTTATAAACGGGGTTTTGACTAATACCAATTTATTAATTAATATTATTCATAAAGAACTAAAAAATAAAACAACAAACAACAAAGCATATTAACTAATATTTAAAGCGTTAATAGAAAGTGAAAAATTATTTCCAACTTTATTTGTTTTAGCGCTATTTTTGAATATACGGAAAAAGATTGTAACGCAAATTTTCCTGACAAAAATCACTTACAGACTAATTCAATAAAGGAATAATATCACAAAATTAGTGGTATAAAAGTTTATATAATGATTAAACTAAATGTAAAACTTTGACCATAAACAACGTTGAATCAACGTTGTATATACATTGGCAATATATCCGTATGGTCGTCCATAGTTGAATATTGGTTGAACAACGTCACCACCATATTTCAACGTTGTTTCAACGTTGAAACAACGACGAGTGCCTGCTGGGTGAAAGTTTCTATAATGTTTAAATATTCATGGTAAATTAATATTTTGAATCTAATTGTGTGACTGAATTGCATATACATTTTTACTGTACATACATAATTTTACATTTAAAAAGAAAAAATACCACTTATATTTTTATCACATTTGTTGGATGCAAGTTATGATTAAATTAGTTTGTGGCTTCCTTCCCTCACACCCCCAGTAGGTTATCACAGTCTGAAACATTTTGTACACACATTTCTCCTTTAGCACTGTTATTTTGTTATACCTATCCTGTACTTCAAAGAGTGCCAGAAATCCAAAGTAAAAGACCCAATAAAAGTTTCCCTTTTTTTTACCAGTTTAACATGTTTGCTACTACAGATGTGTTTTGATTATTTGATAAGATTTGTACGGTAATATAGAAGTAACATGATATTTTGACAGCTTTCAAACTGCTATATTTAGAAGTATTTCATGCATGAAGTTTTAAATGACTAAACATATCAAAATGAACAGTAATCCTTACCATGCTAAATATCTTAAATGAACTTTATTTTTCATTTAATCATTTTTAAGTTAAATTTCAAAATAAGTTCTGACTGAATATTGAACACTGCAGACCATGATCAGACAGCACTGATGTGCCGGCTTGTCTTCATTTGCACTGGTTACATAGGTATATATAGATTAAGTCACGAGCAGACTTTGAGTTCAACATTTTTTCAAATGCTTAAATTTTGTGATAATAACTTTTTCAAAACATAACATAAAAAGGTATAAACTATTAACCTTAATGTGCTATAAAAGTAGAGTTTGCATTATTTTCTATTAACTAGTTTGCTGTTGCCATTTTCTCATGTTATATCTATACATTTACCAGTAAAGTTTTCTAAAGTGAGATTAAACTGTTGCCTGTCTGAAGTATACCTTTTCTTTTAACTGCAGTTTTATTCAGCCTGAGGCAGTTTTATCAAGATTTGATCAAGGAAATTCACCTGTCTATAAACCTATGAATAGTTCTTTTCTAATTGATTTCCATCATCAGTTCTTCCCTAGTGTTTTTTTTTAGATCTTTTTCAGGTCTGAGCAGTGATTATTATGTATTAAATGGTATTTAAAACACCTGGGGATCTGTTATTTGTTTATAATAGAAGTTTTACCTGTTCCTGTTGCATGAATTATTAAAAGGTCACACTGTGAAACAAACAGGGCCCTCACATTGTTGATTGATATATCATGGTTCAGAGTTCAGATGAGTATAATAAAGTTATCATCATGTTTAAATCTCATACCATGGACCTACCACTTACTTTTTATTTAAGGTAGCTCGCTACTTTCCGACCGAAATTTGACAATATCTCAGATCTTGATGATTTCTGGTATACAGACATGTAGATATGTAAGCTTTACTTCTGCAGTATTATTTTATAAATAAACAGCGTTACTATGACGTCAAAGCGCCCTCTATCGGTGGCGGTGAAATTGCGTCTTTTTTATCAATAAACCGGTCTGTTCTTATCAATTTTCATCCGATTTCCTTCATTTTAATATCATAATGTTCAGTAAATGTATGTCTTCGTAATGATGTCTTTCTTTAACATTTACTTAATAGTCTGCGATTTTACGTCATTTTTCTCTACTTTCTGACGTCCATATTTGATGCAAAATCGCGCGATATCGCATTAAAGATTGTGTAATAAAAAAAATTCAACACGGTGAATTTTGCTATAATTTCGAGCGTGTAGTGAGATAGTGACGGAAAATATTTATGCAATAAAAATATATAGGGTCAACGCGTAAGATATTTTGCTATTACTGTTTTAAAATAAAATAAGGGTGAGTGAAACGTTATGATTTTGGTGACGTTAATAGTTGTTGGAGTTCAAAGAATAATACCAAATAACAATTTTCTTACGTCAAACATTACGATTGTAAGTATAAACAACACAGGGACTTGATGAAATGTATATTTTTTAAATTGTTGATTATTTTCTCATTGAAAGCATGCGCTAGAT